TTTTTTTTTTTTTTTTTTTTTTTTTGGGGGGGGGGGGGGGTTAGGTTGTATTGCACATAAATATATCAACTTTTAGTAAAAAGTAGTTGAGGTCGTTCCGGTGTTGAATAGAGAATTTCCACCTCCATCTTTAGGTAGTTTAGCGAGGGCCATTTTCAATAAGCGTCACATCGCTTGACGACAGCTTCATGTCGTCAAGGAAGTGACAACAGGTTCAATTGAATAGTTCAATTCAATTGAACCTGAATTGAACTATTCAGGTTCAATTCAAATATACTCGACTGCTCCCAAAGAGAAATTAAAATGTTGCCGTAATTCATGTTAATTCAAAATTCCTCAAAGAGTTCCTGTAGCTAGTGATGGCTCTGGGCAGGAGATATCTCCTGTAGCTGTCAGTGTTACAGCGAATTTGAAGAAGCCTCTGACTATTTTTCTAAGACAGGCTCATGAAGAGTAAACTTAAAGACTTTTTTACTACTTCAGTACCATTTTTGCCTTAATAGTAAACAATTTCAGAAACACATTTCACATTTATTTCAATACTTAAAAAAAGTGTTATAATTTCACTGGAGGACCCAGCAGAGAAGATCCCCTCCACCCATAAACCACATTTGTATTCTCTAACTATTACAGTTTAATAATCTAACCAAGTGCGATTTGTATTGACTGACATAATCATTAGGTTTAAAATGCATGATAAGGAACATTGTTCTGTATCAGATGCTAAATACCTGCTGTTTATTAAATATTTCGTACTTATGAGACCAAATAAAACAGAATAACTTTGATTTTTGTCGAGGTAGATTGTACATTTGGCACATTTTACACACCTGTTCCACATTTTAAAAGCAACAGATATTAAAGTTGCTAACTTGTTTGTCTGCAGATGTCACTTTCAAATAGTTAAACAACACGCAACACTTAAATACCGATCGCCATTTTAAAAAATGCTAATTAATTAGAGCATGTTTGCTTGTTTACTATTCCTTTAAGGTTAAAATCATCAGCTGTAGTAACAAAGACATTCTGCAAGCTAATTACAACTGACGCTAATAAAAGTTGGTATGTCACAGGCATAGTGTTGCTTACAGGAACGATGAAATATCTGGTTTTGCCATGTTGGTATGGAGGGCCCCGAAATAAAATCTGCTTAGGGCCCCAAAAAGGTTTGAACCGGCCCTGGTCATCCCAACCATCAGTGCTTAAGATGACCCACAGGTGACCTCAGTTTACTCATTTGACTGCAAATTAGCTCAACTGGGTTTTATTTAACGGTTTCAGGGTGAGAGGAGAGGTTGAATACAAACAGCACACTTTTTTTTAACTGTAAAAAAAATGTTTTTTTTTCCCTTCATAAAGAGAGCAAAAGCTATGAACCACTTTGCTTGATCTAACGCACAAAATCCCTATTAGTTCTGTTTTTATATGCTCAAAATGGTGGGAGTCTTTTGGCAAGGCACTGAAATATTCAACATTCGCGCAATTATGTGAATCACGGATGACTACAACTTTATCACAGCGTGTAGCGGTCATTGGTCCTATGCTAATCGTGACGCACATCCTAATTGCGTAGACAGTTACAAAAGCAGTTGCATTGTTTTTTTTTTTTTTCTGACTGAGGTGGTGTCTGATTTCTCCACCCGCTGGCGGCCTGCAGCTCCTGTAACCACAGTCCGCCAGGGCGCAGCGCCACTTAAGTGCGGATAAACGGGAAATGCTCGTATAGTCTGAAAACAGTAGTGACAAAAAAAAGAAAAAAGAAAAAAAAAACGCTTAGAAATGAGTGACCTTCCGAGCATTTGGAACAGTGAGGGGCTAACACCCCCACGTGGATGTCAAATTGAGGAAAAACCTCACAACGTGTCCCTCCTCTAAAAACGTCCGCGATGGCGGAAGAGTTAAAATGAACAAATCAGAGCAAACCAAAACGAAAAACTGCACTTCACTTCTACGCGGCGGGTATGTATATATTTATCCCGTCTTGCGGTGATGTAACAAGTTCGGAGAAAACCGGATGTAAAAGTTAAAACCCTCGCTGGGCCGCCTGTGTGTCAGACATCCCATGTTGTATAACTCTGCGGAACCGGCTGTTCCATTCTGACCTTCCCCGCTTTTCACCTACCTAAGCTGGACAGCCTCTCGATGAGACCCGCATCTCTGATAACTTTGGGGCCGTGCTCCACTCCTCCTCTTTTCTGTAAGCAAAGTAGAACAGGGGGCAAAAAATTAAATAAATGAATGAAAGAGGACTAATAGTAATAATAAAAGTGAGATTCTTCTACCTGTCCTTTTGAGAACGGGGCTCCCAGTATTGCCACAGACTGAGCTCTGCTTTGCTGGCAGGTATGTCTGAGTTGAGTTCGGAGAAGACGGGAAAGCGATCCTCTTAGTGCCATTTTCTTTTTTGATTATCCTCTCCCCCCAAAAAAAATAAAATAAAATAAATAAATAAAAATGAAAACAAAAATCCTCAGTGTCTTCAGTCACAGAGCAAAGATCTCTGATGAAAGCCCGGCGAAACGTTACGCTGGTGGATGCTGTTCGTACAGGAGGGGGTCGGGTTTTATTGCGTCTGAAAGCCTGCTTAATATTCATGAGGTGAAGCGCAAGAGGCGCAGAAGTGGGCGCAGCGGAGCCAACACGCCCTAATTTAGTCACACAAACAACCGCAAGTTTACATACCTACATGTTGTCTGTGCTGGCAGCTATTCATATATTGCAACTCGAGTTTATCGAAAGGGGGCTCGTCTGGTTTTATTTATATTCTCTGACGTCACGTTGAATGACACGCATTCGGGCTGGCCAATGGTAGTCGTCGGAATCGGTGGGATCGTTTTTTTGTGGGGGCGTGTCTTTTCTTTTAATGCAAACTGTAGGCCAGGATCTTTTTTTTTTCTTTTTTTTTTTTTTTAGATGGGTCATGGAGCTCTGATCTACCCCTGTGGAAATTTCCAGACTGCTGGGTCGCCTTACGGGACCGTACTACTCAATGGGCCTGGCCCATTGGTGTGCACGTGGCCGAAAATTCGGATCCAAAACATTATGAAATATCAGTAAAAACACGCGAGCATCTGCGTATTTCTGACATCCGGGTCACACCCTGAGTTACAAGACCAATTTACGCACTGTAAAAATACAAAATAAATTTAAATGCGTTTTTATGTTAGATTAATTGAAAAAGTTAAAAAGAAGCTTTCTTATTATTATTATTTCTAACACGCCATATAAATTTAGCAGGCATGAATCAAACTTGGCAGACTAAAACAAGCCTAACCAGCTGCATTGTCAATCTGTAAAATGTGATTTGAGCACTGCATTTTTCACATTTTTGCACTGCAGTACAGTGCAATAGGCTATATATGGGGAACAAGATTTGAATTTAAAATGTGTTTAATTGTATTTATTTTAATGACGTTTTCAATTCAAACTCGTACCCTAGTGTTTTGAGTTTGCACATAGAAAGCTGTACTGAGAGTACGAAGAGGAGGAAACACTTACAAAAACAATAAAGTAAGCTTGTTTTTGATGCATTTAGAGTTGGAATTGATATTTATATGCAAGGGTCATTAAATGTTCATAGTCTTTATGATGCATTTTGAATATAGATGGGCTTAGAAGGCAATCCATTCATAAATCGGCAAACAATCATAAATAATTTTTCAGATTTTAGAAAAAATGAATATATTTTATTTATTTATTTATTTATTTATTAACATATTTTAAATAATAAAAAAGTAAAACCTTGACGGTTTTGCAAGACACCATGGGGTACAAGATCATAATAAATAAACCTGGGACCCAAATTTAGAACCATTCAGGCCAAAGCAATGTGATAACGGTATTGTGCTTGATTTTTTTTAGTTGCGCCTTTTTAAATCTTCAGTCTAAGAAGTACATTTTTTTTAAAAGATCTTTTAAATCAGAGGGTTAATCAAGATGTTCTTATAGTTGCAATGTTTGGTTGACACTTAAGCAGGAATTTCACAGGGGCACCAAAAGAAAAACCCAGTACATGTTCAGCAACAAAATCTAAGATCTGGGAAAGCACATAATGAGCACAGGATTTTATGGAAATTATTCAAACAACAACAAAATCTATTTTTATTCAAATCTTAGTGTCTGTAAAGTTATTCTGTTTCCTTTTTTTCTACAGCCAATGACATCCCAGGCCCTGATTTGTGCAGACCTACTTGAACTTGAACCTGACATTTCCCTTGAATGACTCAGCATGTTGACCTGTTCTTTGGCAGTTTGCAGCTTGCAGAACTTAAACAGAACCGCGTGGCATTGAAGAACCGCACAAAGTGTTCGTCCCCTGCCCCACATGCCGGCTGGTACCAAGATGAGACAGGCGACAGCGAGAAAACCCATTTTAATCATACACTAAAAACCAGGTAAGATATTTGGCGCCCCCAAGTGTCTGAAAATAGGTATTTTTTTCTAACCCACCATGGTATTTTTCGCCCCCAGTCGGTTGTGTCAGGATAAAACTTGAAATGTTGGCTGCGATAATGACCTTAACTTCAATTACAGCTTTTGACCGAGACTCTTCCAACCCAGGTTCAGAACCGAAGACGCCTTTTTGGGTGTAAGACGAGAGAAGAGGCTCAGTTGCCATGTCAAGGGATGAAGTCAAACATGCAGTCTGAAGAGAGACTTTTAACAAACCTGCAAATGTTTGTTAAAACTTAACTTTGAATGCACTCAGTTTCGAGAGCTTATTGATTTTTGTGTGTGCTTGTGTTACTGTTTGCCAGGAGTTGAGATTGCTTTACATTTTAGTATTTTGTTACTCGTTTAATGCAGTTACAGATATGAAAATGTTTGTTTAGTTGTGGTCGCAAATCTGGACTTTCCTTCCATCTTAACTGAGTGTGTATTGCTAATGTAGATTTATTTCCGGACCTTTGAGCATGAACAAGAGTTCATGGGTTTTATTACACTAAGATGCAGAATTGTAAAATCAAAGACAAACAAGCATGAATCAATGGACCATTAAATCAAACAATCAATAAACTTTTGGATATGTGATAGTTCAGCTATCCTTGCATGGTAACTAACCCCTGGTAAACATGTAAAACTTCAACATAAATGTTGGATTAGACTCTGGCCTTGGAAATGGGAGTAATCACAAACAGATACAGGAAGGAAGTAATATGATAAGTCAAGATTTTGAAAAGTTACGGCTTTAAAATGCCTCTTTTTTGTCATATAGTTAAAGTCTTTATAATGTCCAGTAATTGTTGCACTTTTCTTCTCTCACTAGAAAGATAAATTTGACTGAGGTCGTGGAAAACAAAAAGAGCACCAACCATTACTTTTATTAATCTACCGTGGTTTAAAAGCTACACTAAGACTCATTCTCTTTTGTACTTGTACAGTCTCTTCTCCAGAGCAAAACATATTATCCCAGACTCTCTTGCCACTGGCCAGTTTTTAGAATGTGAAAAAAACAAAACAAAAGCAAAGAAGAATACCAGTAGTACGATAAAATTATGCCACAATCTATTGGACTTTACAGTAAAATACAGTATTTAGATTCTACAGCATTGGTATTCAACATCTTTTAGCCCGGACCCCAAACTGAATGAGCACTCCTCCCACAAGCTAGGATGCTAACTGTATACTAGCTTGCTAGAATGTGGTTGCAGTCAATTAACTGTTGAGGAATAAATTGTGAATAATTCCACAATTTAAGAAAAAAAAAAGTTTGAAATTACTATTTAATTTAACAGTCTTTTTTTTGCTGAAGTTCAATGCATTATGCTTAAAATTACAAGCAAGTGTTAGAAATAACATTGTTATATGCATTACATTGTATTATTTCATTAAAAAGATTAATAAACGTATATTTTTATATTTTAAATAAAAGACTTGAGAATTGTATATGTTTTGTTTTAAGGTTTGTGGCGAACAAATTTAGCCTTTACATATTTTCCTTACAGGCTTGCATACAACCTGAAAGACAGCGCGGAGGGCAAAAAAACCTTTGACGTGCAGCTATCCCATGATTCCTTTCCCAGTTTTCCCTCGACCATAGGGGTTTCCTTTAGCCCACCGGTCTCTAGTATAATATTCGCCTTTAGCTGTGTGTCCCCCTGTCTGTAGTTGTTTCGGGGGCCTTTTGTGTGCGGTTAAGCCATAAAACTGGAGGCCGCTTTCTTTTTTTTGCTGGTGAGTAAATCAGTTCATGAGCGCCGCAGCTGCTAACTGAACTAGCAGTGGGCTACAGAGTTAGCTGCTTTTAGCTAATTTAGCTAGTTTACGTAGCGGAGTATTTCACATGAGCGCGTTCACAACCTGCCAAATATGTTGCTACTACAGCACTCTGTTGAATTGTTTTTACTCTGTTATTACGGCTGCTAATGTAGCTACTCGTTCAAACAGTAAACAGTGTCCTCTTTGTCACTAATAAAGCATTTTTCTTCTTGGCTCCAGGTTTTTTCAGGATGTCTTACTCTCCTCCAATCAACCGCCCTCCGATTGGCATCCCACAGCTGCCTCCTGGCATCCCCCCTCCTCAGTATGCGGGCTTTGCTCCTCCGGTTCCTCCAGGTACTAAGTTGATTACCTGACAGATGTGTTATTTACATTAACAAGACAAATGCATGGGAAATGGATAGAAACACAGAATCAAAGTTTATCAGAATGTAAACACGGTAAAGTAGTTTCACATTAGTTCATAAGTAATTAAAGGCACATTAATAATAATTCAGAATACTACTGAAGCATTAATGAACTTTATGACTTTTTGGCCAGTATTAAAAACACTGAAGATTGTGGTTGTAATGTGAAAAAAAAATTTAAGGCCTCTTGCAAAAGTCAAGACTATTTTAACCAGGTATTGTATGAATTTGATATCATACCTTCAGCATCTCACAACAATTTGATTTCTGATCAACTTTGTGTGTTGTAGACTTCGATGAACATCCAGACTGTAAAATGTAGTGTCTTATTTTGATGTGACAATGTTTCCCACAGAAAACTAGCTAAGCCCGGTGGATGGGCGTTGGGCCAGTAATTCATTCAGCAGACTGCTGTGTTTTTGAGTTAAAAAATGTTTAAAGTTGACAGAAAATTTGAAAATTTCACTTGATAATTATAAGTTATTGGAAGATTAATACTTGAATACCAACTGTAAAGTCTTAAAAAATTTCAAACATTTAAAAAATAACAAAAAAAAAAAGCAATACTTAGCCTGGTGGGGACCCAAGTAAAGGCCCGCCAGGCTTATAATACACTGTGGGAAACCCTGTGTGAATTAGCAGCTAGGCTTAACTTCATTTTCATCCTCGTTTTCAGGGACTCCCATGATCCCAGTTCACATGGGCGTAATGGCGCCTGCACCCACAGTGAGTAAAAAAAAGACCCCACTAATCATATATATACTTTTTATGTTAATATTACTTTATATTTATGACCTAAAATGTGCACTGGCTGTCCAGGTGCTGGTCCCGACCACAGTCACCATTGCACAGAAGCCGGTAACCACGAAGAAGGACCCAGTCCTCATCCGAGCCAAGGACGCAGACGAGGGCGTGGGCCCCACCACCACCGTGTTTGTGGGGAACATCTCTGAGAAAGCGTCTGACATGTTGGTCAGGCAGCTTCTAGCAGTGAGTTCTCCACACACCGCTGATCTGTCGGAATTAAACTGACGTCTGTTTTCTTTAACATTGTTCCAGAAAAGGATAAATTCGTACCTTTTAACTCAAAT